TATCCAGGTCGAAAGGATGACTCCTCACACACGGGTACTCCATCGACCACGAAATTCCCTTGACGGAGAAACGTCACCTGCGACAGTAGGACAATGAGATTGCGTATCGGAAAGGCTCAACAAAAATTTGGGTACCCAACCATCCGCCTTTGCGCCAGTTACTACTAGAAGAATACCATGATGTCCTGTACGCCGGACACTTCGGTAGCAACAAGATGCTCTCTGGTATTGCAAAAGACTACTACTGGCCCACATGGCCAGAAATTTGTCACCTCGAGTGGCACATGTCAGTGGATGAAGTGTTGTAAGTAGAAGAAAGCAAGACTACTATAGCCTCTTCCTGCCCCAGAACAACCATGGCAAGTGGTTAGACTAGACTTCATAACCGGATTGCAATCCTTGTCGTCATCGATAAATCCTCCAAAATAAGACAGTTCATTCCGACACACACGGCAGCACGCAACGAGGAGACCGGTCCCAGCTGTTTGTTCGCTACGTCATCTCACAACATGCCATCCCAACCACACTCATCTCCGACCGAAACCCTAAGTTCACCAGCAAATTCTGAAAAGAACTGATGTCTCTGCTCGGGACCAAACTTGCCATGTCATCCGCCTACCATCCCCAGACAGACGGACAAACCGAATGCCTTAACCGAATTGTGGAGCAACTCTTGCGCGCATGCAATGACGGCATCTCCAAATGGGAGTTGCATCTACCCATCGTGGAGTTTTCATACAATAATGCCACTTACGCCGCTACCGGACATACCCCATTCTTCTTCTGTTACGGACGCAACCCACTCACCCCACAGAAACCAACAGCACCAGCCACTGTTCAACCTGCACATGACTTCATCACCACCATGCATCAGCTTTGGGATTGGACCCACAAGCGCCTCATCGACATTCGGCAGCAACAGAAGCGCCAGGCCGACCGCCACCGCAATGACCGCCGTTTGAGACCATGTTCTACTCGACACCTGCAATCTCGACATCAGCCAAATCCCATCCAAACTGCGACCTCGCTTCTCCGGGCCCTTCCTTGTTGAAGCACAGGTCACCCCCGTTACCTTCCGCTTACGCCTGCTAGCAACCTGGAAGATCCACAACGCCTTCCACGTCCAACTTCTGAAGCCCCACCGAGATCCCAACATGATCTTCCCTAGCCGCCAACCGCCACTGCCGCCAACTGTCCTCGTCGATGATAAAGCTGAGTACAAGGTCGAGTCTTTGCTTGCACACCGCCATAGTTGGCATGGCACCTTGGAGGCTTCGCATCCGTTGGAAGGGTTATGATCCTTCTGAGGACAGCTGGGTTTCTGAATCTGATATGGGTAACGCCCGTCGTCCTCTTTACGACTACCTTGTCAAGCTGGGTGTTACATCTACCACCCAGCTTTGAGGGGGGGAAGTATGAGAGTCCGACCACATTACACTTCTTTCTTGCAAAGGTCTCTTGCCCACGGGCAAATATCTCTTGCCCACGGGCAAAGATCTCTAGCCCACGGGCAAAGATCTCTTGCCCACGGGCAAAGATCTCTTGCCAATGGCTCTCAGCACCTTGTAGGCCAGTGTCATGAGTTTCAACACCATCCACGCTGACTCCCAAAAGGTGTTCTCTCCCGAATTTTCTTCCTCTTGTGCGTCTTGGAAACAGTCACATCTCTCCACTCGTCACGTACCACCATTCGCCGCATCTCTCTTCTTTCCTCTAGAAATTTGGTGTCGCTGATGATACTTAGGCGCAAGCACCTTAGTATAGATATCAGTTGTGTTGGCACCACAGGCCAAGTGTACTACACGGGCCTAGCATCGCTGCTCTAGCTCGCACTGTAGGAAGTACTACAACTGGATGTGCTTCCCTCTGCCCTCCAGTCGAGACTCCTGACACAGGAGGATCATGGCCCTGTTGTCAGCATACAGGACCAGGGCAGAGCTAGGCCTCTCACCTAAGTCGGTGAGCAAGAAGGTCAGCCAGCGGAGCTCCTATGCCACCATGGCACCAGTGTAGATCTCAGTCTCGCAGCTAGACTGTGCAATAGACGACGAGCGGATGGACCTCTACGAGATGACGCCTGCACAAGGCTAAAGCAGTAGCCCTGGGAGGACCTGAGCCTCTCAGCGTCGTCCGCCCACGAAGCGTCTGTGTGCCCTATAAGGACCACTGCCCTGCGTCCTCCTAGCATTAGCCCCATGCCCGATGTACTTGCTAGATAACACAAAACCCTCTTAGTGGCCGACCAGTGTTATGGTCGATGTTTGTCAGTCACCGCAAAGCGAGCCAGAATGCTGAGAGGGTATGCAAGACCAGGACGAGTGCAAGCCATCAGGTACATGAGGCAACCCACCAGCTCTGCGTATGGACCGATAGACTCTACCAACTCCTCAGGGACTGGAGCCGAGAGCCTGTAATCTACTGGTAGAGGTGTGGGCTGTGCGGAGGAGTACTCCGAACCTCTGAAGGACCTGGCGCACCAAGTGTGACTTTGTGAGAGTGATGGTTTTCACTGCTCTATCCCTGGAGATCTGCAGGCCAACGTAGCGGCGCAACTCTCCTAGGTCAGTGCAGGTGTGTCTCCTCGACATCTTAGCCTTCATGGTGGCCAGTGCGTCTGTGTCAAGGATGTAGAACAGGGTCAGTGAAAACCAAGTCGTCTACGTAGACAAGGATGTAGAACAGGGTCTGGCCTGAACGAACGAAAGCATAAGGTCTGCAGACGACGGGAAAAACTACAGGTCAGCTAACGTAGCACGCAGCGTATTGTGCCCCTCACGGGGTGCTTGCCGCAGGCTGTAAACCGGGCGTTGGAGAAGCCACTCGATCACAAGGGCAAAGGTGCCGGGATTTAGTCGTAGCGTTGGCCTGCTACGTTGGCCTGCTGCTGCTGCTGCTGCTGCTGCTGCTGCTGCTGCTCCATCCGCTGCTGCTGCTGCACCTGCTGCTGCTGTTGTTGCTGCTGCTCCTGCTGCTGCTCCTTCTGCTGCTGCTGCTGCTGCTGCTGCTGCTGCTGCTGCTGCTGCTGCTGCTGCTGCTGCTGCTGCTGCTGCTGCTGCTGCTGCTGCTGCTGCTACTGCTGGTGCTGGTGCGATGAGGCAGAGTGAGCAGGGGAGTCAGGGACAGCTGGGTCATAAATATCACCTGAGGAAGGAGGAGGGGGAGGAGCAGGATTTGGAGGAAGGAGGGGAGCCTGGGGAAAGAGTGGGGGAATGACAGCATCAGCCCAGGTGAGGGGGCGGGAGAGAGGAGGAAGGGGGTCGGAAGGCGGAACAGAATGATAGAACGGGATGCTCTCATCGAACACCACGTCACGGCTCTGTAGGAGGCGGCCTGAGGACGGGTGAAGGAAGAGGTAACCAGGGGCAGAGCGAGCGTGGCCAAGGTAGACACACTCAATGGCCTTGGAGGCGAGCTTTCCTGCCTGCCGAGAGCGGTCAGGTGGGGGGATGAGGACATATGCCTTGCAACCCCAGATACGGAGAATGGCAGCATCTGGCTTGGTGCTAGCCCAGAGCTCAGTGGGAGTGACAGACTGGCGTTGAGGATGTGGGTAAAGACTAGTAAGGAGAGCAGCATGGACAAGGGCATAGCCCCAAAGAGAAGGGGGCGTGGAGGCATGAGTGAGGAGGCAGCGGGCCGTCTTGGTGATCTCACGAATGCGACTCTCAGCAACACCGTTCTGCTGAGGGGAGTGGGGAAGGGTATGAGTCTGCTGGATGCCATGGGTTGAGCAGTAGGAGGAGAGGGTGCGGTTGAGAAACTCACCACCGCCGTCGGAATGGAGGCGGCGGATGGGGCGACCAAAGTGGACTCGGCACTGCTCGGCCCAGGTAACGATGACAGCAGGGGCCTCGGCCTTCGTGTGGAGGAGGAACACCGAGGAGTACCTGCTGTGGTCGTCGACTAGGACAAGCAGGTACCGGTGCCCTTGGCGGGAAGGGGAAGGGTTAGGGCCCCAGAGGTCCATGTGGACGAGATCAAGGGGGGCAGCAGCAAAGGAAGGATGACTGAGGTGAGGCTGTTGTTTGAGCTTTCCATGAATGCATGTGGCGCATGGGGGAGCGGAAGAGGACGGGAGGGGAGGAAGAGTGGGGGGAAGACCGTCAAGCAAGCGGGAGGAGATGGCTTTACGAAGTGTGGGAAAGTTCATATGACCAAGGCGGTGGTGGATGAGAACAGCGGGGTGGGATAGTGCGCGACAAGAGCATGGGGAGGAGGTGGAGTTGGAGGAAGGTGGCTCTAGAGGGAGGGGAGGGGGGAGAGTGGAGGTGCCTGCACGAGTGGTCACGTGGCATGAGGAGGGGCGGGGTGTGCGGAGGATGTACTGACGAGAGCGAGGGCAAAGTGGGAGGCGATGAAGGAGGCGGCGAGTGGGGCCGTGGAGGAGGTCACAGTAGGTGGCAGAGGCGGGGAAGAGGGTAGTGATGCCAGCCTGTTGGAGTTCACGGATGGAGAGCAGGTTATGACGAAGAGAGGGAATGTGGAGACCAGTGACCACTCCGGAGGGGAAGGGGGGGCAGGGGAGGGTGGAGAGATGAGTGCAAGGGATGGAGAAGCTGGAATCAGCACCATGAACGTTGGTGGGGAAAGGGAGGGAGGTGAGGGTGCCGGCGTCTTTGAGGGCAGTTTCAGTGGCACCACTATCGAGAACAAAGTCAATCGTGAGCGAGGAGGGAGCTGAAGACACGGGGTACTGGAAATCACTGGCATTAAAAACAGAGGGATACATGGAAGTGGAAGCAGGGGAAGAACGCATGAGCTCGCCTAGAAAGCTGGAGTGGGAGGCGGGAGCACTAGGGGAAGGAGAGCCCCAGAGGGGAAAGCCAGGAGGACCTGGTGTGGCTGTGGCAGCCATGGCGGCGGTGCCAAAGCCAAGCTGCTGCTGCTGCCATGCAGATGCTGCGGCTGCGGCTCCTGCAGCTGCGGCTGCAGCCTGACCACCAGAGCCCCACTGCTGCTGCTGCTGCAGCAGCTGCAGCTGGTGGAAGCGGCAAAACTGCTGCAGCTCCTGGGGAGTTATGGGGTCAGCGACAGAGGAGCTCGCCACGACGCGGCTGTGTGACTGCAAGCTGGGGGTTTTGGGACTCGGTGGAGTTCAGGCCGGAGGGGGGGGTTGAGAGAAGGCGGGCCTCAGCGTTAATGATCCATTGGACCACAGTGTCAAGGGAGGCGTGGGGCTGAGCCTCAGTGAAGGCGATGACACGCACTTCATATTGAGGGGAGAGGCCTTCGAGGAGACGGTAGATCTGAAGGTTGGGGGGGAGAGTAGTCTGGCGAGCCTCAAGGCGGGAGGCAAGGTCCAGGAGACGGCTGGTGTAGTCAACGGCGCCAGCACTATGTTCGATCGTGATGCTGAAGTATTCCTTGAAGAGCGGTCCGACAGCATCGAAGTCGGTGCGTTTGAACATTGCCTCAAGCTCGAGCCAGATCTGGCGGGAGCCGATGCGACGTGCCTGGAAGTTGCGCATGAGCGCAGACGGGATGGCAAGGAGAAGGGCACCAGTAGCACGGCTGTCCGCCTCGAGCCAGGCGCGACGACGCTCAGCAAATCGCGCAGAGTCAGCGGCATAAGCGGCGGCGGTAGCGGCATGCTGAGTGCGGAGGGTTGCCGACCGCTCGTGTTCCTCCAACGCGATCAGGTAATCAGTATGGAGCACGAGGAACTCACGACGCTGAGTAAGGAAGAGCTGCTCAACTTCAGTGGTGGCAGCGCGAGTGCTGGTGCCAACGGGTACCATGGGGGGCGGAGGTTCCTCGCCGGGATGGGGAATGAGAGGGGGGGGATCGCCAGGGTGAGGCGGCGGGTCCCCAAGGTCACCCTCTGGGAGACCAAGCATGATGTCCAGGAGGCGGAACGGCAGGACATAAGCACTACCGAGGACGCGGTGGAGGCTGCCGACGAAGGAATACCAGTTGGTTGCTGAGTTGTCGGCAGCGCGCACGAGATGATCGAGGGTCGAGACGTCGACGGGAGGGGGAAAGGATGCCATTGGTGACACGGAGTGGGAGGAAGGCGACGGCGGGTGGACCCGCGGTGGCCGGGAGGGAGCGGCGGCGGGTGGACCCGCGGCGGCTCAAAGAGGAGGGGAGGATGGGGATGGCTGTAGATACTGCTGCTGCTGCTGCTCCTTCTGCTGCTGCTGCTGCTGCTGCTGCTGCTGTTGCTGTTGCTGCTGCTGACGCTGCTGCTGCTGCCACTGCTGCTGCTGCCGCTGTTGCTGCTGCTGCTGCTGCTGCTGCTCCTTCAGCTACTGCTGCTACTGCTGCTGCTGCTGCTGCTGAGTCTGCTGCTCCTTCTGGTGCTGCTGCTGCTTCTGCTGCTGCTGCTACGGCTGCAGCAGTGGTAAGGCGGCGATGAGCAGGTGCAGGTGAGGAGGCAAAAGATGGGGAAAGATGGCAGTTAGCTGATGAAAATAGGACTTGGTAGAAATTTCAGTAGCACTTCGTGATCACATCCAGGAAAGTGTGCAAACTTCGGAAAGCGATATCTGACAATCCAAGCGATGAAACAGTCCGAAATTTTACGACGTTGTAGCTGACACCAAGAGCGTTCTTTTGCAAGTCGAATCACTCAATTCTGTCAACTATCGAGCGAGCTATGGCGTTTGGCGCATTGGGGGTTTTTGAAAATCCACCCAACAGAAAACTAGTTGAGAGGCGGCGGCTAGGAGTCTAGCAGCGGCGATGGAGGGGACGGCAATGAGGTGCACGTCGGAAGGGGACGGGGCGGAAGCGTGGGGAAGGATCGGGATTTAAAAGTTGGCGTGAGCCATTATTGCTCTATACCATGTTAGAAACAGAAAGGTTAGTTTATTGATGAAGGAAAGGCATTACATTGGAAGAGAGAGATGAGCTAGGAAGGGAAGGTTGGAAGGGAAGGGGGGGTTAGGACCAATCACAAGGGAGGGAGGCTCCTTCCAAATGTGGTTGACCACCAGTTGGAGGTGGTCCAAGTGTGGTGTACCACCAGTGGTTTAGCCAACCCACTTGTGGTGCCCCCACAATTGTGGTCCTTGTGTTTGGGGGCTCCAACCACAATTGGGTTGGATTGACACCCCAACACAGGTGTACACCCAACTAGGGATGTAAACACAATATACACAACTAGCATAGCATGGTATATTCTAACAGACTCAGCAATGATGTGGAGGCAAGTCTCGACCACCGTCAAGGATTTGGAGAAGAGGTCGATGGTGAGGGCACTAGTGTGCAGTGCAAGTGGGGCGTTACACCCAGGAGCGAGGCGGCCAGGGAGGCAGGTGGTGAGGAAGTTAAGGGTGACAAAAGTGGGCGGGGGTTGCGCTCAGAGTTAGGCTTCAGAGCAGGCCGCACTATAGCATACCTCTAGGGAGTGCTGGTCTGCGATGAGATCCGCGACTGTGGAGAAAGAGGCCAGGTTAGGGAAGATGAAAGGGAGAATGAGATGGCTGAGGCTGGCGGAGGGCGAGGTCGTGTAGCAAGCAGCGATCGTGTCCCAGAGCACGTGAGCCGTCTCTTGTGACTCAAAGTGTGCTGTCACAGGTCCAGGAGTTAGCGGAAGCTTGAATGTTACTAATCTGGGATTAAGCAAGGACACAATCTTATAAATACCTGCGAGAACTCTAGGGAAGGGTAACTAGGACCTTCTAAGAGAGTTCTAGAAATGAGTGGAACCGTCCCTAAGAATGCCACCTAGAAGCACAGAAAGGATTCTAGAGATAAATTGATGTTGACGGAACACTCCACAAAATAGAAAACGTGTCACACAAGGAAAGTCCGCCACACTCTGCAACACAATTGATATATATGAAATATAGGAAAGAGTGTAGGGATTTCCAGGAAAGGAAAAGCATACAAAATAACACACAATACATAGCAAATAGAAAATGGTTGTGATCAAGGATTCGGCAAGCCTCATCCTCTCACACTTCCCCCACTCAAAACTGGATAGACGCTAAAAGCGCCCAGTTTTTCAGCAAGCATTGAGGGTTGTGAGGCTCAAAATAGTCAGAGAAAATCAAGCCAACAGATTTGTGCTTGAACAATAACTCCTCTGTATTTTATTCCACACACTAGTGAGCGTGTACGAGTGCAGGTAGCAGGTATCCCATATTGAAGTATCGGGATGTGTGGCACTCCAACTCATATTGCACAGTAGCACTCCGAATGGTGATAAGTCCATGCCTGATTTGCGGTTAGTAGAATTCAGCTACACGATAGCATGCTGTGGCAATGATAACTGCTTCATGTGGTCAAGAAACCACCAAGCATTCAAGGTTGATTTAGCAGTCATATAACGGTGTGTATACTGTAATAACACGGTAACTGTTGCATGCCGTTACAAAGCGACTTGTTGCCAAGTGATTGTAGCAGGACGATATCACAATTCTCATCGGTGGAGCATCAATCCATGGTCATGGACAAGGAGATATGGAGATTTCTGTGCTCAACCCATTTGAATCCTCGTCCATTTCCAGTAGATTGTTGGCGATGATAACGATGACTCCAGTATGCCTCATGCATGTCCAGTTTAGCACGGATTCCATCAATTGGCCTCAGTGACTGGATTCACATATACGTGTAGGTCCACAGGTCATCATGTGTCTTCTATTCGTTAATATTGTAGTAACAACTTTGATAACGTTGATGTTGTTTCAGATGCTGAACATTGATATTGAATCTGCTCCAATTCAACATGTAGGGGTGCCATTGGAGTAACGCGGATTCCTCTATTCATTGTGGCCTCGGCGCTTCGGATCACGCCTATCAGCTTCCATGGAGGTGATGCTGGTGATGGATTGGTTGGTGACGCAAGTTTTATGACTCAGTCGAAAGTCATTGGACCATCATCGTAGTCATCGTCGTCATAAGAGTCTCTTTCTCTAAGCTCCTGAGGGCATATGGCATTACCATGTTGGTTCCAGTGCATAGTGGTATCTCCATTCCACTAGTTGGAAATCATAGATATAGTGCCAAGCCTGGTCTTGTAATCATGCTGGATTTATGTCCAGGTCCATCTCCATTGTTAGGAGGAATATCCATCAGGTGTTGCTGTAATTGTCTGCTGCAGCGACGCCGAAGGTAGATACTCGCTGTAGTGGCTGCTGCAGAGAATGCTCATTGACTCGTAACGGTCGAAAAACAATCCATCAACTCCCTCTTCCGTACAGAGTCTACCTGATGGGTATAAAAGTTATAACTACCAGGGAACACGTGTGTCTTGATGCACAGGTATCACTCCATTGCTGCCGGTGATTGGGTTGATCAAGGGTATAAAGATTACTTGCTTCTCCCCTTGTTGTATTCACGGGTAGCAACTGTATGGCATACTCATCCGTACTCCCGATGTTCGGACGGTAGAGCACGTAATTGTCTTGTAATATGCATCTCCCTCATTGGTTGACATCGTCGTGTTGCTGGGCATTCTCCTCCATTGTCGAAGTTACGTCGAGGCTTGTAACGCTTCTGCTTCTGGTAGGGTCGCGCATGAGCGAGTACTTGCCGGATTTGAGGTTATTTACTCCTCAATGTGTCAAGCATCGTTTCATGCACGTGATGTTTGCATGCATGCCATAAACACCTGGAATCGCGGTCACATGATTGGGTTGTCGTCTATTGAGTTTGATGTCAAACTGCTCCAATCAATCACTACGGATGGCTGAGATTCGTAGTGAAGATGAATCAATCAGCTCCTGTTACGAAGTAGTGTCTTGCTTTCCATGACAAGACATAGTAATTGCGTCGTAGTTGCACGAAATCTGCTTCTCTGCATCAACTTTGGTTGGCGAGGATTTTGCAAGAGAAAACGGCTACTTCTCTGCAATCCTTTATGTGCGAAGTATTTCATATCGCCGATGTAGAATAATAATTTTATGTAAGCCTGTATGGTTATCGGAGATAATCGGCTGCACTGTTGGTGTACCACCAAAATCTGCTTCTTTGATGAAATACGAAATTCTTCTTCATCGGTGTCGATCTGGCTACAAACGAAGTTTCTGGTCCCGTTAAAGAAATGTTGATGATTCTACGAGTGCTATAGTATCATGTAATCGCTGTGTCACCAGGCACGGATATTGACTTTCGAACGTCGTTCTCCCATCCAGTAGTCTCACGGTCCCTTTTTCCGTCGATTTGTTGACAATTGGATGATCTGCGTGCTGAGACAACATTCCTGCCAGTCAATGCTACCAAGTAGGTGTCTGTTGTTAAAAATTGTGACGGTAGAGAAGTTTCTGTTGTCGAAAACCGTGACTTCATGAGGAGATCCGAATTTTGAGTGCAAGAAATTCCGTAAGTCCAGTTGTAGGCGTTGTTGTCGGCAAGGATCAGCTTCTCCGTGTCAAATTCTCGTCATAGAGAAACTCGCGTTCGATCTGGTCCGCTGGTTCAAGGTTGACCCGGCGGTCCAAACTCCAAGTGATAAGAAAATATTATTGAGGTTCGTTCAGCTGCGTCGGCAGGCTGAGCCGACTCATTTTCTGCGGCAATTTGTAGACGTCGATGTCCGTCATCGAATGATCAGACGCACGCAAACAATCCGCTGCTATCGAGGTGTCATTTCCACACACGTTGAAACTCTAACTCCATCAGCTCGGGTTCGTTCCACCTCAGACGATCTGAAGCGTCAAAATGGAATCGGACGGCTGTCGTAGATCGTCGTTGGCGCAACTCCAAGATTCATGGCGATGTTGGAAACTCTTGGAAAACATTGAAGGGCAAATTCCACCAGCTACCGTCGATCGCTTTGGAGGGCAGAAAAGTTGCCGGGTAGATGGTGGAAGTTGATCTTTCAAGCGATCCCTTCGTCCATGGACTTGATCTCGAAGTTGCCGCGAGCGGCTATATCAAGAAGAGCACGCAAAGACGGGAGCTTGGCCATGGGCGAGAAGGTTTCGAAGAAGTCGAGATACTTCTTCTAGGTGAAACCCTTCGCCATGTATCGTGCCTTTAACAGTGGAGCTTCGCCTGGGAGTTGTTTGACTCGAAAGATCCATTTTCCGCCGACGATGTTAACAACGGAAGGGGGAACGACATCGTCAAGGGTCTTGTTGCGAATGAACGCATCGTTGTCCACATCCATTGCTGCCTTCCACTCCTTATAAGGCCCCGAGAGAGCTTCCTCTTTTGTGCAAGGAGTCGGAATGGTCGGGTTCTCGGTGAAGTTGAGGGAAGGGCAGTCAGTAATGTCCGGGAAGATGTGAGAGAGAAATTGGCAGACCACGTGAAGGTCAAACAGCTCCTCATGCCTGTCCTCCAGAAGTGCACGGGAGGGAATACCGATGGAGAGGACATCACCCCCGGCAGGAGGAGGCGGGGTGACCGAACACATGATGGACAAGGCGGCTGGTCCCCAGGCGAGAGGCAGAGCCGGTCCCTTGGAACGAGTGCGACTAGAGACCAAAGACGAAGGCGGCTGCGGTGGGACCGGAGGGACTGGGCGCCTCCGGTAGGAAACTGGTGAGCCGGGCTCGACGCGTGGGGAAGGCGGAGCAGAAGGAGGTGCCACTGCAAAGGATACCGGGGAGGCCGGTTGAGACACGCCAGACAGAGAAGGCCCCGGAGAAGGGGCAGTGGCCGGACGTGGGGCATCAAAGTCTGCCCATACAAGCGCCGAGGGAGTTGGAGGAGGCTCGCCCGTGGTCGCAGAATGGAAGGGGCGTGTCTCATCGAAGACGGCATCACGGCTGCGATTAGCTGTCTGATGATGGGGTTGAGCAATAAGTAGTATAGGGAATC